GTGAAGGATGAGTGTAAATAGCCCAAATGGAAGCAGTTTATATTTTTATTCACAACTTTTAAAAGCTTTGCCGGACGTCAAACAGTGTATCCCTTCATTAGCTGGGGGGGATTTGGGTGGGGGCGGGGGAGGATGCTAAAATTTGCACTACTGTTGACGTCTGCATTTCATCAAACCCTTTTTTGGACCACCAGTCTCCTTCCCTAGTCGGCCTAATAACCCATGAGACGTGCACTGTGTGCTGTGAGGGGCTGTGACATTCTGCCATGGCTCACACTCACACCCTCCCCTCCTCTTCACCCTCCACTTCCGCTGCCTAGCTCCATGAAGGAAGGCAAGGCTAGCAGCACTTTATGGACCTGACCCCTGCTTCTTCTCCTCCTCTCTCATCATGGGTCAAGGGTCAACTGCTAGTCCAGCTCAGAGGGCGTGTTGATGTACTGATGGTGCTGGCCCCCTAAGCCCCATCAATACGGCCACTGATATTCTTTTTGTTGTTGTTGTTAAGAGCGATGATGGACTGGCCATCCTGTTTATTGTAAGTTTATCTCAAACTATTATGACTGTTAGTCTATTACTGTATGACTCAAAAATGATCTGCATTCATGTCTGGATTTGGGATTACTCATTTTAGTCTCAGACTCTTGACATTCCTGTTGGACTGATAAACATCTATTTCGTTTTGCATTGGTGAGCCACAACAACCCTGGCCTGGACTCATCACTGTTCTGTTTGCCTTAGTCCAGTGGTATTCAAACTTTTTCCACTGGGAGCCCATTTTTTCCACTAGAATTTCTGGGGACCCCAACCCTATCCCAAATCTAATGACACAACCTTAAAATTGGTCAATAAAATGTTTTACATCTACAAATAACCTTAAATTCATTACATTTAAATCTCTTATCAAAATTAAAAGACACCAATAAATACATTTACTCAATAAAATTGTATTTTTCAAATTATCGTTATCAAAAACATTGTCCCATACAATAATCTGTACTCTTTTTGTTCGGAAATGTTGTATTATTATTTTTAAAAAGACCCCACTGCAGTTCCAGGTCATGACCCCGACTTCGAATACCACTGCCTTAGTCCTAACATGCCGTTCTGTTCTGCCAAGGGTCTACCCTATAGGGTGTCCCAGCGTTATTCACTCTATTTCTGTGGCAGGAGGAGGAAGGGGGATGGGCCGGGACAGGGCAGGGGGTGGTCTGGGGGGCTTGAGCAAACAGTGAGGGTCTCAACACACAAAGTAAACATTGCCCTGTGTTTGAACTGTACACCTTGGGTCCGGCAAGTCTCCCACACACTCACTCTCCCCTCAGCCCTATTCCCACTCACATCCCCCTTCCCTTCAGCCGACCGGCCCAGCTAAATACACTGCTTATCCCCCCCCGCTGAAGAAATCTGCATAGACCAGCATAGGCTAGTCATGCTGGTCACCAGTGCTCGTTTTGCTGGTGACTAGCCTTTCGCTGTGTTTTTGCTGGTGACCAGCCTTCGCTACGTTTTTGCTGGTGATCAACATTCGCTGTGTTTTTGCTGGTGACCAGCCTTTGCTGTGTTTTTGCTGGTGGCCAGCCATCGCTGTGTTTTTGCTGGTGACCAACCTTTTCTGTGTTTTTGCTGGTGACCAGCCTTCTGTGTATTTTGGACAATGGTGACCAGCAAAGGGTCACCAGCAAAACCAGCATCAAGTCACATTATGTTAGTTTGCAAAGTTATGGTCAATTCCTATTGGAATCCAGCCAGAGTGGGGATATCCAACAATTTGACATTTTATTCACCCACAATCTGTATTCAGAATGACTGCCAGGGTTAGAAAGATTAATACATTTGACTACCTAAACCATCTAAACTGGAAAAACTATTTCAGTAATGGGTGAAGTCTAACTAACAGATTGGATTAGTTTAGAAAAGGTGTATTTGTGTAGCAAAATATTAATTCATCAATCAATGTACTGTACATGCAAAAACACAACAAACAATAAATAATTCAAAAAAACTATTCTAAAAATCAAATTGCAATAGAGCATGCTGGGAAATATGATAATGATGGGCGTGGTTTTGCAGACCAGCTTGACCAGCTAGACCATGCTGGACCAGCATAGACCAGCATGGGCCAGCTTGGTCACCAGCATACCAGCATCACCAGCATACCAGCATAAGCTGCTCACTAGCAAAAACACAGCGAAGACTTTTCACCAGCAAAAACATAGCGAAGGCACCAGCAAAAACACAGCGAAGGCTGGTCACCAGCATCACCAGCTTGACCAGCTAGTCGGCAAGCCTAACCATGCTGGTCAGACAAGCTTGACCAGCTAGACCATGCTGGTCAACCAGCATAACCATCTAGACCAGTGGTTCCCAAACTGTGGGGCGCGCCGGGTCTTGAAAGTTGTAATATGGGTAGTGCATAATCAGTTCCTCTTGTCATGTTTGTCATTGCATACCTTAGAGAGCTATTTATAACTTGTCAGAAATGTCCAGATCAACTCGTTTTCTTGTTTAGGTTTTTTAGCCCATAGATATTGTTGTAATTTTTTTGTCACTCAAATATCACATGAATACACATTAGACATAGCAAAATGTATAGAATTGCAAGAATAATGAGCTTTAAACTGCAAAATGTTCTTTGCACCCCAAAACTAAATGTTTAGAATTGCAGGAAATAAGCTTTAAACCTGCAAAATTCTCTCCACCAACAAGAGGGGTGTGAACAGTTTGTGTCATGAACAGTGCTTGTGCCCATAGAAATAGACGTGGCGCGTGCGCACAGGGGGGGCACGGGATGTTCCCCAATGCTGGAAGGGGGACCCAGAGTGAAAACGTTTGGGAACCCCTGAGCTAGACCATGCTGGTCAGACCAGCTTGACCAACATCCGACCAGCACTGACCAGCATAGACCAGTATGGACCAACTTGAAATTTATGCTGGTCTATGCTGTTTTTCTGCAGGGTCTGTCAATGTCTCACCTCCATGGCCAACAGCTCTCTCTGGCTCGCATGTGGGGGGTGCATTGGAACATGGCTGCACAGCAGTGGACTCAGAGAGTTGTACGGTTGTTCTTCTTTCAATATCAGAAAAAAATCCTTGACTTATATCTGAGTACTATAATGCTGAGGATGGAACCACATTTGTCTGCAGGTCTTTGTTAAACCAAAGCACTAATCAACATGATTATATAAATTAGCTATCTCCCCTCCGGAACATTAGACAAGACTAGAGCTTGCGCAGTCACAGTGTCTTACAGGCTGACGATAGCAAAACCCTGGAGACACAGCGGCACTTTTCGATTTGGGTTTGATAAACCAGGGCTTAGTGCATGAAATGCTCTCTTTTTCACTTAATGTGGTATTAAGAGCAGCCAACTATCCTGGCCCAGTTATGAAGGGAAGAGACTGAATGATGTACCTCATTATAGGGCTACCACTCAGACAAAGTGTACTGGCCTACTTCTTCCTAGGACATCCAACCGTGGGTTCAACCAAAGCGTTGAGCAGAAAGGTTAACTAACGTACATACAGTATGTAATTCTGGGCTCCTAAACTCGAAACTTCATGTCTACATGCACAGACCTACAGCAACAATAAAATATTGACACACATTCATTCCCCAAAGGAAATTGGGTAAACGTCTGAGCATTTCCCCCAAACATTTTTTTCCGTTCTTTAGTTTTGTTGTTTTGACTTTGTTTATTCATCCCTGTCTCAAATCACTGAATTCAATCTCTGCTGCTTAAACTTGTTCCCAACAACTTTGATACATCAGTGCCAAAGAAAAAAAGCCACATACACGGACAGCCTGAAAAAGCAAAGCTTTTCATATGTTGCATGAGTCAATTAGGAGGGCAGCGTTACTGAACACATTCGGCAACTTTGTTTCTGAAGTGTTCCGAGGAATGTCCTCGGGACTGTACCGTAGGACCTATTGATTCTGACATGTTTATTTTCACGGCAAAGGCCTTTTTTCGATTTGTAACAGATCCAGCATATTTTCAGCATTTGTTGTGCATGTGTCGGAGGGAATGCACCCAATTCCCCAGTTAGGTGCCTTTTTATTTAAACCACCAACCCAGCATCTGACATGTTCTTTTTACATGGCCAAGGTTCTATTTTGTTCAAAGTGCCACTTTATTGAACTACTCCTGAAGTTTGAGTGAGTGACTAACTGGACGTCTTTGTGAGCCGTTTAAAAAATGTCTGTTTCTGTAAACGAGAGATGTACTCAAGAGATTAAAAAAAGAAATAACTTACTCAATTTTATATTTTTGTTCACTGACCTAAGCTGACAGCTCATGAAAAGTTATTGATTAAGCTCTTCTCAAAGTTCAGAATTATTTCTTAAAGATAAAGTGTTGGCATAATTACCCACTTTCCCCTCTATTGTTTGGCTAATGAGGGGACACAAATTGCTGTTGTCTTCAAGAACACTCAGCACTAGCAGAGTTGTGCTCGGCCCATGCTAGTTAGAAATGAATTAGTTATAGGGGTTTATCAAACTGCAAGCACTCTCCTATATAATGCTATATAATTGTAACATATCATGTGCATTGCAGAGATGTTGAAGTTGGAGAGCCTTGGCCTTACACAGCGAACACTGAACTTTGCTAAGGAGAGAGAGGTTCAGTGTTAGTGAATGTTGTTGTCCAGATCTGGGGAAATATACAAGGCTGTATAAAGTATGGCAGTGCTTGTTGAAATGTTGAGCTTGGCTTCAGCCGATGTTGTCAAAAGATTAGTTTGTGTAGGCTTGGCTTAAAAGTTAGTTCCTTACATACTCTTGTGCGTTGTGAGTGAACTGCTTGCTCGTGATGGTTGGGTCTGCTGTTACAGGTACGGTTGAGGAGGTTGATCTATGATGGCACTGGCAGTTAGATTGGAGATACAAGAGCAAATAGAAAGTTGAGAACAGTGCCACTGCTCAGTGAAGTTGTGTTCTAGAATGTGATTTTGATAATATAATACAACCATTATTATGGTTTATAAAGTCAAAGAAACATGAGAAGGTGAGAAAATAACTTTTCTTTTTCTAGGAACCCAATTCAATAATTTGCAGGTCATAGAGATCATAATTAAACTGCACTGTCGTTTTTAAAGTCTATTTGAAGGTTTTTTTGACAAATTGTTTTATTGATTTAGTACGTCTGTTACCAACAGTGAGATTTGTTGAGGAAATATGTTATACTGTCAACAGCTCAGAGATGCAAATCAAGCATGATACATTCAATACAGTGAGACATCTTGATGCTACACTCTGTGTCCTCTCTAATAGTATTATGTCTGAATCACTTCAGATATACTCAAAAACATATTCATAAATGGTTGAACATAAAATAAATGGTTGATTATTCAAAGCATATTACCACAGGTTATCTTGTTGTGTAAAGTATTGTATTGCATTTTTTAGAACAATGTTTCAGTGAAAGGCAATATTTAGCAGTAAAACCAAGTGCACCTTCTCCAGACAGTTAATTGTAAATGATCTGGAGTTCATGTCCCGGATAGGAGCATTAATGTAGGCTAAAGTGGAAATGTGAGATTCTTTAGTTTTAGTTTTTAATGAATATTAATCACCATAGAGCCTTAGAATCCTTAATTTTTCTTTTTTCTTTTATTTCACCTTTATTTAACCAGGTAAGCCAGTTGAGAACAAGTTCTCATTTACAACTGCGACCTGGCCAAGATAAAGCAAAGCAGTGCGAAAAACACAACAACAACACAGAGTTAAATATGGAATAAACAAAACGTACAGTCAATAACACAATAGAAAATCTATATATAGTGTGTGCAAATGTAGTAAGTTATGGCGGTAAGGCAATAAATAGGCCATAGTGCAAAATAATTACAATTTAGTATTAACACTGGAGTGATAGATGTGCAGAAGATGATGCGCAAATAGAGATACTGGGGTGCAAATGAGCAAAATAAATAACAATGTAAATAACAATATGGGGATGAGGTAGTTGGGTGGGCTAATTACAGATGGGCTGTGTACAGGTGCAGTGATCGGTAAGCTGCTCTGACAACTGATGCTTAAAGTTAGTGAGGGAGATAAGAGTCTCCAGCTTCAGAGATTTTTGCAGTTTGTTCCAGTCATTTGCAGCAGACAACTGGAAGAAATGGCGGCCAAAGGAGGTGTTGGCTTTGGGGATGACCAGTGAGATATACCTGCTGGAACGCATACTACGGGTGGGTGTTGCTATGGTGACCAATGATCTAAGATAAGGCGGGGATTTGCCTAGAAGTGATTTATAGATGACCTGGAGCCATTGGATTTGGCGACGAACATGTAGTGAGAGCCAGCCAACGAGAGCGTACAGGTCACAATGGTGGGTAGTATATGGGGTTTTGGTGACCAAACGGATGGCACTGTGATAGACTACATCCAATTTGCTGAGTAGAGTGTTGGAAGCTATTTTGTAAATGACATCGCCGAAGTCAAGGATCGGTAGGATAGTCCGTTTTACGAGGGCATGTTTAGCAGCATGAGTGAAGGAGGCTTTGTTGCGAAATAGGAAGCCGATTCTAGATTTAACTTTGGATTGGAAATGCTTAATGTGAGTCTGGAAGGAGAGTTTACAGTCTAACCAGACACCTAGGTATTTGTAGTTGTCCACATATTCTAAGTCAGACCCGCCGAGAGTAGTGATTCTAGTCGGGCGGGTGCAAACAGCGTTCGATTGAAGAGCATGCATTTAGTTTTACTAGCGTTTAAGAGCAGTTGGAGGCCACGGAAGGAGTGTTGTATGGCACTGAAGCTTGTTTGGAGGTTTGTTAACACAGTGTCCAATGAAGGGACAGATGTATACAAAATGGTGTCGTCTGCGTAAAGGTGGATCTGAGAGTCACCAGCAGCAAGAGCGACATCATTGATATACACAGAGAATAGAGTTGGCCCGAGAATTGAACCCTGTGGCACCTCCATAGAGACTGCCAGAGGTCCAGACAACAGGTCCTCCGATTTGACACATTGAACTCTATCTGAGAAGTAGTTGGTGAACCAGGCGAGGCAGTCATTTGAGAAACCAAGGTTATTTAGTCTGCCAATAAGAATGCGGTGATTGACAGAGTCAAAAGCCTTGGCCAGGTCGATGAAGACGGCTGCACAGTACTGTCTTTTATCAATCGCGGTTATTATATCATTTAGGACCTTGAGCGTGGCTGAGGTGTACCCATGACCAGCTCGGAAACCAGATTGCATAGCGGAGAAGGTACGGTGGGATTCGAAATGGTCGGTGATCTGCTTGTTAACTTGGCTTTCAAATACTTTCGAAAGGCAGGGAGGATGGATATAGGTCTGTAACAGTTTGGATCTAGAGTGTCACCCCCTTTGAAGAGGGGGATGACCGGGGCAGCTTTCCAATCTCTGGGGATCTCAGACGATACGAAAGAGAGGTTGAACAGGCTAGTAATAGGGGTTGCGACAATTTCGGCGGCTAATTTTTTAGAAAGAAAGGGTCCAGATTGTCTAGCCCATCTGATTTGTAGGGGTCCAGATTTAGCAGCTCTTTCAGGACATCAGCTATCTGAATTTGGGTGGGGGGGCATGGGCAAGTTGCAGCGGAGGGTGCAGAGCTGGTGGCTGGGGTAGCCAGGTGGAAAGCATGGCCAAGGGAATTCTCGATTATCGTAGATTTATCGGTGGTGACAGTGTTTCCTAGCCTCAGTGCAGTGGGTAGCTGGGAGGAGGTGCTCTTATTCTCCATGGACTTTACAGAGTCCCAAAACTTTTTGGAGTTAGTGCTACAGGATATACATTTCTGTTTGAAAAAGCTAGCCTTTGCTTTCCTAACTGATTGTGTATATTGGTTCCTGACTTCCCTGAAAAGTTGCATATCGCGGGGGCTGTTCGATGCTAATGCAGTACGCCACAGGATGTTTTTGTGCTGGTCAAGGGCAGTCATGTCTGGGGTGAACCAGGGGCTATATCTGTTCTTAGTTCTGAATTTTTTGAATGGGGCATGCTTATTTAAGATGGAGAGGAAAGCACTTTTGAAGAACATCCAGGCATCCTCTACTGACGGAATGAGGTCAATATCCATCCAGGATACCCGGGCCAGGTCAATTAGAAAGGCCTGCTCACTGAAGTGTTTTAGGGAGCATTTGACAGTGATGAGGGGTGGTCGTTTGACCGCGGACCCATTACGGACGCAGGCAATGAGGCAGTGATCGCTGAAATCCTGGTTGAAGACAGCGGAGGTGTATTTAAAGGGTAAATTAGTCAGTATAATATCTATGAGGGTGCCCATGTTTACGGATTTAGGGTTGTACCTGGTAGGTTCCTTGATAATTTGTGTGAGATTAAGGGCATCTAGTTTAGATTGTAGGACGGCCGGGGTGTTAAGCATATCCCAGTTTAGGTCACCAAGCAGTACGATCTCTGAGGAGAGATGGGGGGCAAGCAATTCACATATGGTGTCCAGGGCACAACTGGGGGCTGAGGGGGTTCTGTAGCAAGTGGCAACAGTGAGAGACTTATTTCTGGAAAGGTGGATTTTTAGAAGTAGAAGCTCAAACTGTAGATTGCAACTCCGCCCCCTTTGGCAGTTCTATCTAGATGGAAAATGTTGTAGTTCGGAATGGAAATGTTGGAATTTTTGGTGACCTTCCTAAGCCAAGGTTCAGACACTGCTAGAACATCAGGGTTGGCAGAGTGTGCTAACGCAGTGAATAACTCAATCTTGGGGAGGAGGCTTCTAATGTTAACATTTTACATTTTAGTCATTTAGCAGACGCTCTTATCCAGAGCGACTTACAGTTAGTGAGTGCATACATCATTTTTTATACTGGCCCCCCATGGGAATCGAACCCACAAACCTGGCGTTGCAAACGCCATGCTCTACCAACTGAGCTACATCCCTGCCGGCCATTCCCTACCCTACCCTGGACAACGCTGGGCCAATTGTGCGCCGCCCCAGTGCCTTAGATCACTGCACCACTCGGGAGGTATGCAAGAAACCAAGGCTTTTACGGTTACAGAAGTCAACAAATGATAGCGCCTGGGGGGTAGGAGTGATACTGGGGGCTACAGGGCCTGGGTTAACCTCGCCAGAGGAACAGAGGAGGAATAGAATAAGGATACGGCTAAAGGCTTTAAGAACTGGTCTTCTAGTGCGTTGGGTACAGAGAATAAAAGGGGCAGATTTCCGGGCGTTGTAGAAAAGATTCAGGGCATTATGTACAGACAAGGATATGGAAGGATATGAGTACAGTGGAGGTACACCTAAGCATTGGGTAACTATGAAAGAGATAGCATCACTGGAGGTACCGATTGAGCCGGACTCTGCGTGTATGGGGGGTGGGACAAAGGAGCTCTCTGAGGCTGGTTGAGCAGAACTTGTGGCTCTACAGTGAAATTGTATAATAAGAACTAACCCAAACAGCAATAGGCTAGGCATATTGACATGGGAGAGAGGCATAACGCAATCACAGGTATTATTTGAGAGGGCTGAGACAACAACTGGTAATGGCGACGAAAGTTTGGGCTGAGGCTAAATGGATAAACAGGATGGGGTACCGTGTAAAGGAACAGTCCAGCAGGCATTAGCTGTGTAGCTGAGTGATCATAAGGTCCAGTGAACAGCACTAAGTAAGTCCGGGAGCAGTTCGTAGGCTGCTACAGCACAGGCGAGCAGAAGGCACGGCAGTTGATTGCGTGTGCTAGCGGGCCGGGGCTAGCAGATGGATCTTCGTGGTCGTCGCAACGGGAAGCCTGTTGAAACCACATCAGACGATTACGTTGGCAGACCAGTCGTGATGGATTGGCGGGGCTCTGTGTCGACACTAGGAGGTCCCGTCCGGTTGACAGAGAGGTAGATAGCCGGGAGATGGGCCTGTCTCGAGGCTGGCTCAAGGCTAACTGATACGTCGGGACAGTGGTGATTAGCCAACAACAGCCATTCGGTTGCAGCTAGCTAGTTGCGATGGTCCGGTGTTAAGGTCCAGTGATTCAGTGATTCCGGCAGAAAATCCGATATGCTCTGGGTCGATAGCACGCTGTGCAGACTGGCCGACAATTGTCCAGGCTAGAGCTGGCTGGTAGGTAGTGCAGGCCACGGACAGTGGTGAAGACCGCTAACGGTGGCAAATAGCAAGTAGCTAGTTAGCTGGCTAGTTTCAGCCGTAGGTTCTTGATAAAAATAAAGAAATAATAGAATCCGTTCCACATTGGGTGAGGCGGGTTGCAGGAAAGTATATTTAGTTAAAGGATGGAAAGTTAGAGAGAGAAATATATACGAAAAAAAAAAAAAAACAGGCTATTTACATGAGGACACAACAGAATACACGACCGTACTACTACGTCATCTTGGAGACCTGACTAAAAGATGAATATGTTTTTACTCGACTATCAAAGGAACGTTGTCCTATTCATCCTTCAGGATAATCAGTGAGGAGAAAATATCTAGCTTGTGTTTCTATCCCTGAGGATTCCCATTGTTACCACTTCATATAAATCAATATGGATAAATAAATTACTTTGAGCCTTTGGGACTTGTGGTATTGCAAATGCTTGTGTGACTGAGAAAAGTATTCTACTAAACTCCTGTAGTCAACATGGCTTGGGATGGGGACAGATTTACAGATTGCGCAATAAAAATGTAAAGGTAATTTCCGATTGAGCCGACATATGCAGCGTCTACCATGAATGCATTCTCCGCTGACGCGGGAGCTTTTAAATTTCAATCTCACTGTAACGCTGAACTTCTGCGATACAGATTGAATAGAGCCAGATTAAAACATTATTTTCTAATTTAACCTCAAAAGGTCAAACGTGTGTGTAGTTGGCCTTACAGACTTCCCTTGGACAGGGAAAAATAAAAGCTTCTCCAAGGATTATTGAGACCTGACCTCTCCAAAGAACAGCATGGGTTTTTAATGTCATTGTCTTCTGTGGTCAGGCCCATGGAAGTGATGGCCTATGGCTCCCAGGGTAGATGCTAAACTAACAGGTCTCAGATTGCAGGCAGTGTACTCCTGGGATCAGTCCTCCGTGACCCTGCAGAGAGAGGACTTGTGATAAGGGTCGATATTGGAAGCTGTGTAAACCTTGTTAAGCTTTTCCCCCCTGCGAGCAGGGGTAATCCCAAACACCTGGGCTGGTTAACCGGGATCAGGTGGGATTAGAGAGGAGGGGGCCATAGAACCCACTCTGCCCCCACTTCACTCCGCAGTTCCCTGTTTTAATCAAGCCCATAATTTCACTTTTATGATAATATTTTATAAAAGATTGGGATTTTTACATTATCCTTTATTCATAAAGTATTGAAATTGATCTCAAACTAATATCCTATTTTTCCTGAGTTTATACGATTTCCTGATCACATCCCTGATTATACTTTTCTGGACTTCATCCTTCACTCTAACCTAACTCTGGTCCATGACCATGGCAGAGGGCTATCTATCCTACCATCCCAATGAAAACATTGACTTTTTACTCAATTTCTTGACCCGTGTATCAGAGGTACAGGTTATCCAAGCCAGCAGCCAGTCAAACAGAGGTTCATCACAGGTCAATCAATGATAGACTGTTTATTTACACGTTATAGTAATTAGTCAACTGCTTGTTTATTGTTATGAAGCAATCGGTTCTTCAAAAACGCATGAATTAACTGTTTATTTGTACAAGGGTTTCCGAGAACTATTAAGCTGTCAAACATACCACAGTGTAGCGGGGTTTATTGAGCTGAGTTGTTTTGTCTTTATCAAGTGTGACTGCTTCTATTCTCATGGTGGTCTGTCTGTCTGACAAGGTACTTTACAGGGGTTGTATATCCACAGTAAACATCCTATATGGTGAATACCTTGTCAGATTGATGATTGACCCTCCTCCCCTAATGTACACTACATTAGCCACTTGGGGAAATTAAACATTGTTAGTTGTTATTGTCCTTAGACGTCACTGTTCCCTCCATCTCTCCCTCTCTGTCAGATGTGGACGAGTGTGCAGAGCAAATTGACAACTGCAGCATCGATGCCATCTGCCAGAATACGCTCAAGTCATACAAATGTATCTGCAAGTCAGGCTACAAGGGGGATGGCAAGCACTGCGAAGGTAAGGTGTCAGAGACGCACACACACACACACACACACACACACACACACACACACACACACACACACACACACACACACACACAATTTTATACTTTACATGTCTTATTGGCTTTAAAACTTTAAAGCTGGAATCCTTCATGGGGAAACTGCCACATCCATTTGGGATATTACAACAACAAAGAAGTTACTGCAAACAACGAACACTGTTTTTTTCCCTCTGACATCATTGCATGCCCGATAGAACAGCAGAATATGTACTGCAATTTGATTTACCACACTGCTCGACGCACCTCACCTCTGTTTCGTCCACAAAACAAAAACAATAATAAAGGTGCTGGGGCGGACAGTGGCGCTGTTTTCCCTAATCCATCTTTAAATCCCAAACTCACCTGAAGAGTGAGGATAGAGATGCTGTGTAAAAGGAGAGAGAGGACAGAGATGCTGTGTAAAAGGAGAGAGAGGATAGAGATGCTGTGTAAAAGGAGAGAGAGTATAGAGATGCTGTGTAAAAGGAGATAGATGATAGATGCTGTGTAAAAGAGAGAGAGGATAGAGATGCTGTGTAAAAGGAGAGAGAGGATAGAGATGCTGTGTAAAAGGAGAGAGAGGATAGAGATGCTGTGTAAAAGGAGAGAGAGGATAGAGATGCTGTGTAAAAGAGAGAGAGAGGATAGAGGTGCTGTGTAAAAGGAGAGAGAGGTTAGAGATGCTGTGTAAAAGGAGAGAGAGGATAGAGATGCTGTGTAAAAGGAGAGAGAGGATAGAGATGCTGTGTAAAAGAGAGAGAGGATAGAGATGCTGTGTAAAAGGAGAGAGAGGATAGAGATGCTGTGTAAAAGAGAGAGAGAAGATAGAGATGCTGTGTAAAAGGAAAGAGAGGATAGAGATGCTGTGTAAAAGAGAGAGAGAGGATAGAGGTGCTGTGTAAAAGGAGAGAGAGAGAAAAAAAGACAGGTGCAGCCGACTGCTCTTTTGTGTCAAAGATTAAATGAAGCAGTACATTTCGTACACGTTAGAGAAGAGAATTAAGATAGCGGTTGAAAAAGCAATCAGAGGCCTCTGTCTGCCAAGAAGTCAGGAAAGTTTCCATAACCCTGTTTTTGTAGTAGGGAGTGTTCAAAGCCTCTGGATCGTTATTTCCCCCTGTTTTTATTAGTATTACTGCAGAACCATATTCACAATGTCACCCCCCTAAGATTATTCTTAAATGTATTTGATTGTGTTTTTCATGGCTGTTTGCCTTCAGGTTATAAGTGCCCACTTGAAAGTCTAAACTGAGGAGAGAGTAGAGCGCTGATGCCTGAAAGAGTCTGTGCCTCTCTCTCTTCATTAGCAGCATGTCTGTAAAGACTCCTCAAGGCAGATAAACACCATAAGTGTAGTTGATGGCCATGAGCTGCCTGCCTCTCCTATACTGACTGTGGTAAATAATCATAGCAGGTATAAGGCAGTGCAGTACAGCACATGGCTGTTGGTCCTGCCCAGGTTTCTACACAGCGAGTTGTTATTGACTTTACCTGGTTTAAACTAAGGACAGGAGGAGTATGGCCTGAAATAAAATGTATGATCGCGATTTGGTTGAATCTCTTTGCCAATCATCAGAGTTTACATTACTGTGATTATTGTCAACTGTTAACCGATCCGTAATGAAACCATTGACTAGTAAGATTTTTAAAAAATTGTTATTACATAAATCATTTTCAAAGACAAACCTGCTGTTTTCTGCTACGGGCAACAAATCTGGTATTACTGAAACAAACCTTAAACCCTGGCAAAACATGGGCCAATGGGTTCAGCCGCTTGTACAGTTGAAGTCGAAAGTTTACATACACTTAGGTTGGAGTCATTAAAACTCGTTTTTCAACCACTCCACAAATGTATTGTTAACAAACTATAGGTTTGGCAAGTCGGTTAGGACATCTACTTTGTTCACAAGTAATTTTTCCAACAATTGTTTACAGACAGATTTGAAAAAATTATTGTAGACCTCCACAAGTTTGGTTCATCCTTGGGAGCAATTTCCAAATACCTGAAGGTACCACGTTCATCTGTACAAACAATAGTACGCAAGTATAAACACCATGGGACCACACAGCCATCATACCGCTCAGGAAGGAGACGCGTTCTGTCTCCTAGAGATGAACGTACTTTGGTGTGATAAGTGCAAATCAATCCCATAACAACAGCAAAGGACCTTGTGAAGATGCTGGAGGAAACAGGTACAAAAGTAACTATATCCACAGTAAAACGGGTCCTATATCGACATAACCTGAAAGGCCGCTCAGCAAGGAAGAAGCCACTATTCCAAAACCGCCATAAAAAAAACTGACTACGGTTTTCAACTGCACATGGGGACAAAGATCGTACTTTTTGGAGAAATGTCCTCTGGTCTGATTAAACAAAAATAGAACTGTTTGGCCATAATGACCATCGTTATGTTTGGAGGAAAAAGGGGGAGCTTGCAAGCCGAAGAACACCATCCCAACCGTGAAGCATGGGGGTGGCAGCATCATGCTGTGGGGGTGCTTTGCTGCAGGAGGGACTGGTGCACTTCACAAAATAGATGGCATCATGAGGAAGGAAAATTATGTGGATATATTGAAGCAACATCTCAAGACATCAGTCAGGAAGTTAAAGCTTGGTCGCAAATGGGTCTTCCAAATGGACAATGACTCCAAGCATACTTCCAAAGTTGTGGCAAAATGGCATAAGGACAACAAAGTCAAGGTATTGGAGTGGCCATCACAAAGCCCTGACCTCAATCCTATAGAAAATGTGTGTGCAGAACTGAGTGGCGCAGTGGTCTAAGGCACTGCATCGCAGTGCTAACTGTGCCACTAGAGATCCTGGTTCGAATCCAGGCTCTGTCGCAGCCGGCCGCGACCGGGAGACTCATGGGCGGCGCACAATTGGCCCAGCGTCGTCCAGGGTAGGGGAGGGAATGGCCGGCAGGGATGTAGCGCAGTTGATAGAGCATGGTGTTTGCAACGCCAGGGTTGTGGGTTTGATTCCCACGGGGGGCCAGTATAAAAAAATATATATAAAAATATGTATTCACTAACTGTAAGTCGCTCTGGATAAGAGCATCTGCTAAATGACTAAAATGTAAATGTAAACTGAAAAAGCGTGTGCGAGCAAGGAGGCCTACAAACCTGACTCAGTTACACCAGCTCTGTCAGGAGGAATGGGCCAAAATTCACCCAACTTATTGTGGGAAGCTTGTGGAAGGCTACCCGAAACGTTTGACCCAAGTTAAACAATTTAAAGGCAATGCTACCAAATACTAATTGAGTGTATGTAAACTTCTGACCCACTGGGAATGTGATGAAAGAAATAAAAGCTGAAATAAATAATTCTCTCTACTATTATTCTGACATTTCACATGCTTAAAATAAAGTGGTGATCCTAACTAACCTAAGACAGGGAATTTTTACTAGGATTAGATGTCAAGAATTGTGGAAAACTGAGTTTAAATATATTTGGCTAAGGTGCATGTAAACTTCCGACTTCAACTGTATATGCTGAGGTGGAATTACAGCCTTTGCTATCATAACATTTGCCTTGTGATTGTGGAAGAAGAAGTGTGGAAATTGAGATATTAGGATAGCTGTACAAATATACTCTTCCTGTGTTGCTTCTCAGTTCTTTCTGCAACGGTACACACATTAGAAGATTACTCAAATCAAATCAAATTTATTTGTCACATGCACCGAATACAACAGGTGTAGACTTTGCCATGAAATGCTTACTTATGAGCCTTTTCCCAACAATGCAGAGTTAAAAAGTAAGAAACATTAGCAAAAAACAAGTAACACAATAAAATAACAATAACGAGGCTATATACAAGGAGTAGCAGTACCACGTCAATGTGCAGGGGTACGAGGTAGTTGAGGTAATTGAGGTAGTATGTACATGTAGGTAGCGGTAAAAGTGACTAGGCAATCAAGACGGGGAGAGTGTGAAAGTGTGTCAATGTGTGAGTGTGTGTGGCGTCAATATGCATGTGTGTGTGTATTTTGTGTTTGTGAGCGTATGTGGTGTATGAGTGTGTGTATGTGTGTGTTGGAGTGTCAGTGTAGTATGTGTGAGTGTGTGGGTAGAGTCCAGTGAGTGTGCATAGAGCCAGTGCAAGAGAGTCAGGGCAACAAAAAAAACAAAAACATACAAAGCCATTTGATTAACTGTTCAGCAGTCTGATGGCTTACTGGTAGTATATGTAGTGTATGTTTGTAAGCTATCGCATGTCTTTGTTATCCCCAAGTCATGAGTGAAAATATACTATAATTGTTTTATGCATAAGCAATTTGAAAGAGTAGTTGAAATACAAGAGGGCAAGTCTAAACTCAGTCCAAACTCAAAATGGAGCATCCAGTCCAACTAGCTGATGTGTCTGTCTATCATCTACTCTCTATCCCACGTCAGGTACAGGATGAGGATTATTTCTATTGGAGGCTAAAGGAGCTATTGTCCCTCATACGGTAAAGGGATTATCATCTGCAGAGGCCTCATTATGACCGTAATGATGCGGAAACAATCTGATTTGAATGACTGACACACACACCAGACGCTCCTTTTCTCCCTCACACACTCTCATATACTCACACTACACCAGCCCAGAGCGCCCTGTAGGTGATGCTTGGATATACTGCATTGCATTTTATAAACTGGGTGGTTCGAGCCCTGAATGCTGATTGGCTGACAGCCGTGGTATATCAGGCCTCCTGTAGCTCAGTTGGTAGAGCATGGCGCTTGCAACGCCAGGGTTGTGGGTTCGATTCCCACGGGGGGCCAGTATGAAAAATGCATGCACTCACTAACTGTAAGTCGCTCTGGATAAGAGCATCTGCTAAATGACTAAAATGTAAATGTATACCACCGGTATGATTTTTATTTTATTTTTACTGCTCTAATTACGTTGGTAACAGTTTATAATTTATGGCCTGTGTCCAGGGACTCCGCGTTGCGTCGTGAATAAGAACAGCCCTTAACCGTGGTATATTGGCCATATACCACACCCCCTCAGGCTGTATTGCTTAATTATACTGTATGTTTTTGCCTATGTCTCTGCAGGTGTACCCATACAATAACACTAAGGTTGAGCATTCTGTATTCAACATTAGAATTCCATTGAAATACATAAGCATGTATACATAAAGACTGTTAGTGTTTCTACCCTGCTAATAGAGGTCCTTAGAGTCCTGCTGAGAGAGGGGGAGATAAATAAAGCATAACAGGGAGACAGGATAATAATACATATTGATGTACTAGTTCTATATGTGGTACTTGTTCTTCTGTTGCTGTTGAGTCCTGACTCATGGTGTGTGGAGGGAACTTTGGTCCTTAGTGTGGTCTCAGGTGACGTGCTGCTCTGAGACACCCGTTGACATGCTGGCAGACACGAGACTGGCACACACACCTTGGCAGTGGCACAGCCTCTGTCTGAGGATGCCAAGGAGGTTGTCTGGGAGAGCAGGGAACAGGGAACATGACAGGCTGGTTCAGAACCATTCTATCCACTCAATCTTCTAGTCCATCAGCATGAGAACCACTGCACTGCAGCATCATGCCTCAGTGCCTGTTAGCAGTCCCCTGACCAAGTCATCACAGAAACCGCTCTCTCTCATTTTCTCTCTCTCTCTCTTTCTCTTTCTCCCCTCTCTCTCTCCCCCCTCCCTGCTCTCTCTCTCTTCTCTCTCTCTCTCTCTCTCTCTCTCTCTCTCTCTCTCTCTCTCTCTCTCTCTCTCTCTCTCTCTCTCTCTCTCTCTCTCTCTCTCTCTCTTGCTCTCTCGCTCTCTCTCTCTTGCTCTCTCGCTCTTATTGTCTCTTCCTCTCTCTCTTGATCTCTCTTTCTTTTAACCCCTAGAACATTACTTAGTTTTTATCTCACTGGTATTGCCCATGGAATAAATCCACCAGTTTGATAGGAATTTGATGGTGCTGCATTTAATGTGAATTAGTCAAATTGGTCTGTAACAGACTGAATAGTGAACAGACTGAACAATGGTGTTGGGTGGATATAATCATGTTGATCTTGAGAAATGTCAGTGTTGTGAACAAGAGGGAGGAAGCCTCCTCTCGTTGAGGGAATAAGATGCTCTTAGCCTGGGGTAGATGAGAGTAAGACTGGCATTAGTGTGTCTCCTGTGTGACATCATGGGATGGAGCAGCAGAACGTTGTGGTGGCAGGCAGCTCTGGGAGTTAGAGGGAGAGTGCACTGGTCCAGGCTCAGCCCATTGCTGTCGAGTCAAATCAAGCACTGAGGCATCTGTACCAGGCAACTACAAAGAGGAGCCGAACCACCCAGATCATTGGCCCTAAATGGGTCAGAAAATAAGAGATGGGGTGCATCTCCAATTCCGTCTGTCTCCCTGCCTGTCTGTCTCCCTGCCTGTCTGCCTCAGCTCCCTACCTGTCTTCCTCAGCTCCATGCCTGTCTTCCTTAGCTCCATGCCTGTCTCCCTGCCTGTCTACCTCCATGCCTGTCTCCCTGCCTGCCTGTCTCCCTGCCTATCTGCCTACCTCCATGCCTGTCTTCCTGCCTGTTTGCCCCTCTGCCTGTCTGCCTACCTCCCTGCCTGTCTCCCTGCCTGTCTCCCTGCCTGTTTGCCTCCCTGCCTGTCTGCCTACCTCCCTGCCTGTCTCCCTGCCTATCTGCCTGCCTCCATGCCTGTCTCCCTGCCTGTCTGCCTTCCTGCCTCCCTGCCTGTCTGCCTACCTCCCTGTCTGTCTCCCTGCCTGTCTGCCTCCCTGCCTCCCTGCCTGTCTGCCTGCCTCTCTGCCTGTCTCCCTGCCTGTCTGTCTCCTTGCCTGTCTGCCTCCCTGCCTGCCTCCCTGCCTGCCAGCGCATCACCAGAGCCTCTTCAGCCACCTCCACAACAGGCCACTCTACTCCTCTGTCATCTTTATGTTGCTCGCTGACTGGAGTATTGGTTCAGCTGCACGTCTGCTTCTCCTCAGTATTACTCATGTCCTTTGCTTCTTTCTTTCTTTCATTTTTCTTTCTTTCTTTCTTTCTCTCGCTCTCTCCCACTCCCTCTCCCTCTCCCCCCTCTCTCTCTCCCGCTCTAACTCTCTTTCTCTCTCTCTATCCTACCATCCATCATCTCATCTATAATATCACCTTGTGTTCATGGCCACATTCACATTCCCCATCCACACACTGTACCCCCAATACACTTAATGTACTGTACCCTCTCTGCCTGCTTCTAAAGTTTGAGAAAACTTCACTTACTCTGTCTGTCTACCATTATTTATAGAACATTGCAACACTGTATATTTCCCTTTTTATCTTATGCTCTTGGATTTGTAGTACTTATGCGGATTTCATGAGGGATACATGCACCAATGTTTCGGACTAAAATGCAAACTATTTTTGAAATAACATACTCCTTAAACGTCTTACAGGTAGCTACGTTTGTCATATCGATCTCTGAGTCCAAACATTGGGTGGTGGGGTGCAGGTCAAACATTAAAAGCCCATAGTCCTAACTCATCCCTCTGTCTCTTCCTCCCTGCAGATTTAGACGAGTGTGCGAGTGAGTACAATGGTGGCTGTGTCCATGACTGCATCAACATCCCGGGGAACTACAGGTGCACATGCTATGACGGTTTCCGCCTTGCACACGACGGACACAACTGCCTCGGTGAGTGTGTGTTAGCTGATGATCAGCTTTATGACATTTTAGTCATTTAGCAGACACTGTCATACAGAGCAATTGCATACATTTACATACTGGTCCCAGTGGGAATCGAACCAATGACCCTGGTGTTGTAAGCACCATGCTCTACCAACTGAGCTACACGGGATCTTGTGTCCTTTCAGTCACTTTGCTTAGCATAGCCCAAGGAGAGAACTAAAGTACTGCCTACAGAAGGTCCCTGAGTAGGAAATGCCTGGTTTCCATTCAACTGCACATGTGCAAGTCCTAAACATTGAACTTGAC